ATTTTCCCCACACGCCCCAAACCCGACACGACACGACCCATTGCCAGCCCTATATACTCGTAAAAAAAAAAATCTCGAGCACAGCCGCTCGACTATGCTATTTATAAATAAATTTTAAAAACGACCCCAGTAAAGCCGCGCGGCTACACTCTCTATCCGAAGCACAGCTAGGCGGCGGCTATAATCTATTTTAAAAAAGATTCTCGAGTATAGCCGCACGGCTAAAATATTTTTGAAAAAGAAAAATAGCCCCGCCTGGTACCTATATCAATTCGGCACACGTGTCAAAAGCGTATAGCCGCTGGCTATACCCTTTTTTTATATAAAAAAATCTCTGTAAAGCCGCGCGGCCATACTGATAAGTTTTAAAAACGACCCAAGTAAAGCCACGCGACTAACTCTTTTTTTTTAAATCTCACATTCTCAACCCCCCAGTATAGCCGCGCGGCGGTAATATAATTTTTAAAAAAGACCCCAGTAAAGCCGTCCGGCTATGCAGGTTTTAAAAAAAAACCAGAATATAGGTGCGCGGAGATACTATTTTTTAAATAAAAAATCCCAGCAAACTAAAAAGATTGAAGAACGTTTACGAGAACTTGGATCTTGATATATATTGGCCATCATACATTTCAAGACCTTATCAGCGTATATAGGCCAAAACCTTGAGCTTCATGATTAGTGAACGAAGAAGATTGAAGAAGAATCTGCTTTTGAAACAAGTGCACGATATGAAGCTTGGTGTCATATTATAAAGAGGCTGTTTCGAATCAGTCTCCTTTTTCTTCTCACTAATATTCGTTTTCAGTACCAAGTCGGTCACCGTTTATCTTAAAGGCACTGTTTTTGATACTCCATGATAGTTATTGAGATTCTCCCTCTGAAAATATGAGTGAGAAATTATGCTTAAAAAAGTGTACGATACCTCTTGGGAGTCTGAATAACAGCTCCCTATTTTAAATGAAAAAATAAAAAAAGTCTCAACCAGAGAAGAAGAGAGAAAAAAAGTTGTCACTTGGTCTGGGTCAGTCCACAGCCCAGTTTGGGGTTGGATGCGCCTCAATTTTAAATGGGCAAAGTGGTATTTTCGAAAGGGGATCATCTCGGCGCTGATAAAGGGCGCGATTAACAGCCATTTTCTGGCAAAAGGCCACAAAGCCTCAAATGGGAGCCAGCGACTTGACCGTTGTCACAAGGTTGAAGAGGGAAGATTGCAAGCGCACCAAACACGACTCTCACTTCTCCAATTGGAAGGTAATTCTCTGCCTCACCTGATGGAACTGGAATTGGAATTGAAATTTTGATTTTTTACTCGATCTGTAATTTGAAATCTTTGGAGATTTTGATTTTTTGTTTGTCTGAATTTGGAGATTTTGATTACTTTCTCTGTCCTCTACTCATTTTATTGACTGACTAGCTGTATCTTCAAATTAGATTTCTGGGTTTTTGTTTCTCTGTTGAAAGATCTCAAATTTACTCCCACTACTTACCCAGATTCCAAAATTCAGTTTTATATGGTATTTACAACTTGGGTGTTTTTGTTTTTGCATTTTTATTGGGAATTTTAGATTCTGGTTGGTCCTTCGGATTGGGAAGACTATTCACTGGGAAAAGAAGGGGCTGAAAGATACAGGGTTCATAACCTCCCTGAAAAGGAGAGTCCAGGTGTCTATGAACTTGGCATCGCGGTCTTGCGTACTGGTTTAGGCCGTGAGATTGGCAAGCTTGACCCAGACTATATAGTCCCAGTGTACCTTGGACAAGCTGATAATGTGAGGACACGACTTCAGCAATATGGTCGTTCAGGTGCTCATTTGGGCAATGGCTGCCCAACTGGTCATCCTAGCGACCGTGTCCAAAAGGGGCCGGGATTGTTTGCTGAGATACTGTCAAGAGACTACCCCGTTGTGTACAGATGGGCTCCTGTAAGTTTATCTAAATCTTTTGATCCTTTTAAGGAGTTTGAACTTTACTAGGGTTTTTCGTGTGATTGATATTGAATTAGATGTATCGTGCATTTATTAAGTTACCACTTTTGTTCTTCCTTGTTGTCATGGATGGCTATACTAGTTTACCATGGATATTATGTGGATGCCCTTCTTCTGGTTGAGACTGATGGATAGTTGATCAGAGGCTGCCAGAAGAGTCCTTATCATCTCCTGTAAAGATCAGATGCTGCAAGCTGGATAGTTGATTGCTTCATGAATTTCTAATTTCAGGGTTTTCGTCCACCTTCATGTTCATACCATTACTACATATATGGGACCATCATAATTAGATAGAAGCTATATTTGTATGAAGTTTAGTTGTATCTTTTATACAACTCGACGCTTTTAGTTGTGTTGACTTTTGGGATTCTCATACAAACACGTACACGGTAAATAGTGATCCTGTGTTTGCCATTATTTATGTGTGGACTGGAATATCTGATATGTAATTGGAATTTATGAATTCTGAAGCACTTCTGGGTGCAATTTTGGCCATGTGATTGGAATATATGATATGCCCTTATCGTTTCTTTGTTGATTGTATCTACAGATGGAAAACAAAAGTGTTGCGCTGAAAACAGAAACTCAGCTGCTTAACACATTTGATTATGCATGGAACACAAACATTAATGGGGCAAGACGCCCCGATGATGTCCTTCAAAAACTTAAGATGGTATCTTCAAGCACTACACGATTTGTTAATATTGCCCAGAAACTTGTGCCTTTCAGTCCGAAGAAAGTGGGTACTAGGATTGAATCAAGCGAATTGCTTTCACCAGAGGATAAGTTCAGTGCTTATGCTAATAGGGAGAGCCACAATCCCCTTTCTCAAGTTTTCAAGCTTGGCAGATCACAGCCTAGGTTAGTTTTGGATAGAATTGGCATTACTCAGGAGAATACTATAATTTGTGGGGTGGATGTAGGTGATGGCTCCGTTTGCAGAACGCCACCAGTTCCAGGAAGAAAGCGGTGTGCTAAACACAAAGGGATGAGGATTAATAGGTCAACTAGAGTTGGGATATCAAATAGCACCGTTGACTCAGAATCAGAATGCAGTGCTATTAGCAGCATAGAGTTTCATGATGCTCAAATTATTAACCGTGATCCAGTAGAGAGCTTCACTTCCATTTGTGGATTCATCTTGGCTGATGGCTCTTCTTGCAGAAGGCATCCGATTCAAGGGAGGAAAAGATGTGATGAGCATAAAGGGAAAAGAATAATCTAAGTAGGCGAACGAAGCTAAACTAAAATATGTGCATGATGTGGCTTTTGAACCCTTTAATTTTGGGACTTCAAACTATGAGCAGAATTCATCCGCATTATGTGAATTTGGAGAAGTTCAAGCTTAAGTTTTGACAGTCCAATAAAAGCTATGATACTACATGTGGGGTGGTGGTGGATGTAGGTGATGGATATTTTTGCACAAGGCATCCTATTGTAGGAAGTGGAAGAAGGTGCTGTGACAGCAAAAACAAATTATGTGCTCTTACTTACAGAAAGGATCTCTATGTGAAACTACTCATGAAAGGAGCTGGGGAGCAACATAACACAAGGGAAGTAGAGTAAATCCACTTGGGGTTTTCTTTTTCTCTGTGAAAATAGATTGTAGAAATTGGTGATCCAGGCTTCAATTTGTTGTTGATTGTTATGCCTATCAGATAATGTTGTAGCTTTCTGTATCAAATTATTGCATACCCTTTAAAATAATGTTGTATTGGCCTAAAAAGAAGTTGGGTATGAATTTGGTTTGACTTTTTTTGTTTTATTTGATATCCTTTTGTGTAATTTCATCCCATATTTTATGTTTTTGTTTTTGCCCTTTTAAGTCATGATTTGTTATTTTTGAGTTTTTATTTTATTTTTATACCAGCGATGGTACACATTGCTAAAATATCATAGAATTCGAATCAGAGACCACTGATCAGGGCCTTCTCAACTGATTTAGATCCTGTTGTATTTTAATTAGCCTTCTCTAGTTAGGAATGCATTTCTTTGCAAACATAAGATAAGATAAAATCACTGGATTTTTTTCTTGGGAGTTTCACTAAAACACTCAAAATGGGGGTTGAAATTATAAAAAAACTCAAGCACTATTTAAACATATAAACACACCAAAAACTCATCATTACACACACTCAAAACTCATTTATAAACACACCCAAAAAGTTGACTTTGGGGTTGATTTTGGGTGTGTTTCTATGTTTAAATAGTGCTTGGGTTTTTTTATAAATACATGTCTAGAATTGGGTTTATTTATAACTTTGTATTTTTTCTTTCCGTTTTATGTGACATGTGGAACAAAAGACAGAGAGAAGAACGCATTGGATTGTACGCCACCTGATTTTTCCCTAAAGCAACCCATGTAATTAATTGAACCGCACAAATCCCCTAGTTTCACAAACCACATATCCCCTAGTTTCACAAACCATTTCTCCACTGCTCTCCACTATCGTGCGCCGTAGCGGCGATAAACATCAACGGATAAGATGCCAGCCGGCGAGCTCCGACACACAGAGTCGTCCTCCGAAGTCGAGGGCGAGGCGTGGGTGTGGGCCCAGATCAAAGCCGAGGCGCGCCGCGATGCCGAGGCTGAACCGGCTCTGGCCAGCTACCTCTACTCTACGATACTCTCCCACTCGTCGTTGAAGCGATCCCTGTCGTTTCACTTGGGGAACAAGCTCTGCTCCTCCACTCTCCTCTCCACGCTCCTCTATGACCTCTTCCTCAACACCTTTTCCTCCGATCCCTCTCTGCTCGCCGCCGCCGTTGCCGATCTCCGCGCCGCCCGGGAGCGTGACCCCGCCTGCGTCTCCTTCTCCCACTGCTTGCTCAATTACAAGGGCTTCTTAGCCTGTCAGGTAATTAATTTGATTTTTAGGGCTACAATTTAATCTCCTGTTTTGATTCCGAGAAAACGCAAGAAAATAAACGAATTGATTTTGTTTTATTTGATTTATAGGCTCATCGAGTGGCGCACAAGCTGTGGATCCAGTCGCGCAGGCCCTTGGCGCTTGCGCTGCATTCGCGGATCGCCGACGTGTTCGCGGTGGACATACACCCGGCGGCGGCGGTCGGAACGGGGGGGCTGTTCGGCCACGCCTCCGCGGTGCGGGCGGGGGG